CGTTGTCTCATCCTGGACTGTGTGCTGACACTCACCAGTCCCCGGCCCCCTTCCTTCCGCTTAGCGTACAGCCTCAGGGTGCTGGACTTGGGGTGAAACCCTCCATGCATGGTAAGGAGCTTTCTTGTCTTGATGTCAGTGGCTTCTATCTCCTCCTTTGGCCAGCCTATTACCCCAGCAGGGTACCTGATCACTCCTTGGTAGATCCCGCACTTGATGGTGACTTGTGCTATGGGCTTGGAGTTGGCCTTTAGTGTTGTACGCCACATCCCCATTGAGTTCCCGATGAAGGCTCTTAGGGTCCTGTTGATCTCATATAGTTCTAGGCATTACAGGATCCAGCTGTGGGGCATTGAGTCATAGGCCTTCTTGTAATCAATCCAGGCAGTGCACAGGTTGGTCAGCCTGGTCTTGCAGTCTCGGCTGACTGTTCTGTCTACCAGTAGCTGGTGCTTTGCGCCTCTGGTATTCTTGCCAATCCCTTTCTGTGCCCTGCTCATGTATTGACCCATGGAGTGCAGTCAGCTTCTTCAGCCAGTAGTCGTGAACCATGTCGGGGTCTGGTGCTGTCCAACTCTTTATGCTAGAGACCCTTGCTTGGATGTCTGCCACCGTGATGGTTACTGGATCTATCTGCCACGACCAGTTGAGGTGAGAGAAGAAAGACAAGACAAAAGACATGCTGTGGAAGAGAGCCTGAGATTAATAACAAGTATGATTCAATACAGTGAGGTCTATTAACACACAGTGAGTAAGAAAGGTGACTGAAGAAGAAAGACTCAGTGCATCATGGGAATCCCTCCAGCAGCCTACATCCACTGCAGTATAACTAAGGTAGGATTCAGGGTCACGAAACAAAAACACAGAAGCACAAGAAAGCCCCAAAACAAAACACGAGTCCAAAACAGAAGAGTTCAGGGGGCCGGCCAGGGGGCCGACAGCACAGGAGTCCAAACAGTTCAGGGGGCCGACCGTGCGGACGGCAACGGCGGCGACGTGGACACAGTTCGGGGGGCGGCCGTGCGGAAGGCAACGGCGACGACGACAGCGCTGGTCCGGGGGCCGGCCGTGCGGAAGGCAACGGCGGTCACTCAGGCGGTGGCAGTCCGGGGGTCGGCCGTGCGGAGGGCAACGGCGGCCACTCAGGCGAAGAGGGTCCGGGGGTCGGCCGTGCGGAGGGCAACGGCGGCCACTCAGGCGAAGGCGGTCCGGGGGTCGGCCGTGCGGAGGGCAACGGCGGCCACTCAGGCGAAGGCGGTCTGGGGGCCGGCCGTGCGGAGGGCAACGGCGGCCACTCAGGCGAAGAGGGTCCGGGGGCCGCCCACGACGGCGATGGCGCCCGGCCAGTGGCCTAGCCAGCGGTCTAGAAAACAGCCGTTTAGCTCCAGACCCAAACGAGGCCGGGCCAGGCGAGGCTGAAGGCACGGAGGCCGGGCCAGGCGAAGATGATGAAGCTGCAGCAGGCGAGGATGATGAAGCTGCAGGAGGCGAGGATGATGAAGCTGCAGGAGGCGAAGATGATGAAGCTGCAGCAGGCGAGGATGATGAAGCTGCAGGAGGCGAGGATGATGAAGCTGCGGCTGGACGGGCTCCTCGGGCCCCCCAGCTGATGAGGCAAGAAGCTGGACAGGCTCCTCGGACCCTCCAACGGAGACACTAGACGAAGGCCGGAGCGGTCCCTCGGACCCTCCAGCGGAGACAGGAGACGAAGGCCGGAGCGGTCCCTCGGACCCTCCAGCGGAGACATGGGACGAAGGCCGGAGCGGTCCCTCGGACCCTCCAGTGGAGACACGAGATGAAGGCTTGACGGGCCCCTTGGACCCTCCAGCAGAAGCCATCACAAAGCCAGCAGGCATGGAGTCCTCTGGCAGACACGAAGGCAATGGGTACTGTGCTGAGCACTGGCCCTGCTCAGACAGCACTGACATGGAGTTGTTCTCTGAGGGCTGCTTAATCTTCAGGGGTTCAGAATCAGCTGGGGACTGAGACCTAGCCTCTGGGGAAGCCCTGGAGTGCAGAGCGGTGCCTGAAGCAGCTAAAGCGCGAGAAACTCCCTGACTGGACCTTAAATTCTCTCCCTGCAAAAAGTGAATGTGTGAGACCTCTATTACTGGAGCTGGAGCTACTGGGGCCTGCGCTACAGGGGGCACTGGAGCTACTGGGGCCTGCGCTACAGGTGGCACTGGAGGCTCTGGAAACTGAACTGAAAGGGACACTGGAGGCTCTGGAAACCGAACTGAGGGTGACACTGGTGGCACTGGAGGCTCTGGGAACCGAACTGAGGGTGACACTGGTGGCACTGGAGGCTCTGGGAACCGAACTGAGGGTGACACTGGTGGCACTGGAGGCTCTGGAAACCGAACTCAGGGTGACACTGGTGGCACTGGAGGCTCTGGGAACCGAGCTGAGGGTGACACTGGTGGCACTGGAGGCTCTGGGAACCGAGCTGAGGGAGGCTGCGGGGCGGCTAACCGAGCTGAGGGAGGCTGCGGGGCGGCTAACCGAGCTGAGGGAGGCTGCGGGGCAGGTGACACTGGGAGCTGAGCTACTGGAGACACAGGTGACACTGGCAGTAATTCCACAACTGCGTGAGATACTGAGACTGTGAGTCCGCAGGATCCATTTGATGGTTGCGTCGTTCTGTCATGGTTGGCTGTGTGGCAGGCGGGCAAGCAGGAGTGGTGGATCCAAAATGCAGGACTCAGACACAGAAGTTCAACTTAAAGCGCAGTTTTATTGCTGGAAACCCTCTTACAAACTAAAGGCATCAAAAGACAAACAAAAACGCTGGTGGACTAAAACACTGAAGCAGAAAACACTGAACTGGAAACAAAACACTGAACTGGAACTGAAAACAAAACACTGGCAACACGGAGGCAAAACACACACAGCTTGTTGAGGGTACGACGCAACACTGACTCAGAGAAACACAGGGTCTAAATACACTGGGAAGTAACGAGGAGAATGAGACACAGAAGGAGAGCACAGCTGGGGGAAATTAGAACTGACGAGACAAGCAAAGCAGGACACATTCACATAAGACACGGACCTTCAAAGTAAAACAGGAAGGATCACACAGAGACGCGAACTTGACACAGTGGAGACAGCAACTAAGAAACACAGAGACATAAACCATAAGGCAGAGGACTCAAGAACCGAGAGACACAGAGGGGAACTCAAACAAGCAGACATAGACTTACACAGAACAGAGGGGACACAGAGAAACATGAAGGGCAAGGGATCGCAACTAGAAACCATAGAATAACTCACACCAAGTACAATAATACAAAAATCACAAAGAACTAAAACGCTGGGTCAGGAGACCCAGGACCCTGACAAAATCTCCAAGTGTGAGTTTACAGTGTTAAACCTGTAAAGCCTGAAACATGAAACAACTGCCAAAAATGCATTTTTTAATGGAGTTAATTAAAAATAAATCTATATTCATTTGCAAACATGAGTTTTAATTTGTATCATATTTGCTACATTGTTGTTTTGGGCAACTTAATTACAGAAAAAAAAAAATCGCTTTGATGATGAAGAAGTCTCACAACTCACAAAATCTCATCTCAAATATGACACACTTGGTGTTACAGGTTTAAGAAATAATACTAATCCATTTCCTCTTTTAGCAGGTTAGAAGCAGGAAGGACACAAATGAGTTTAGTATGCAGACGTTAATCAGTGGATATCTCAGTTCTTGCTTCTTTCTGATATGATGACCACTAGTTTACATCGATTATTGTAATTTTGCTTCATTTCACTCTAAAACTGTGAGACTAAACGGGGACTTGTTTGATAAGGAAACATTTTATGCTTTTATTTAATGAAACTAAAGCTTTCGTTTTGTGATTCTTCTTTTAGTGCACTGACAGATACATTTATGTCATTTTCTTTCCTGGTGATTTAGTTTTACTCACAAAAACAAACTCTGTTGTATTATTACTGTTTTTATATTTCACATTTCAGTTGTTAACAATGGTTCCTTATGAAAGAATGACAGCTCGTATTGCAAAGAGGAAGTTTGGATTATGAATTTGTTTTAAAGAATAATGAACAATCTCTTCAAAATCCATAATTCAAGTAATTAAATATCTGATGTGTGTTTGTAATTCAGGTTTCAACAAGTTCCTGTGTGTGAACATGGTGACAGTCGGCATGTTGCTGATTGTCCTCTTTGTTCCAGGTGAGCTGTTTGTTCACTCATTCACAGACATGGAGTCATTTTACAATCTGAATTTTTTTGACATACAAAATCTGAAAGGCCAGTGAAGATAGTCAACAATTTATTAATCATGACAGTGTATTTACAGGTGTTTTGACTGATTGTCCTGATGGAGCAGACCTCTCCATAACTGCACCAAAGAAGCTGGAAGCAGTGAGTGGATCTTGTTTGCAAATCCCATGTAGCTTCAAACCCAAAGAAGAACAGACATTTATCAGCACAAGAAAAACCTTTGGAGTGTGGATTAAAAACAATTCTGATATTACCAAAATCAAAAACAATGTGATCTTCAACAGTAGTGGAGCAGTTAGCATCTATCCAATGAGTATTACTGGGAACCTGAGTCAGAGAGACTGCACCACTCTGTTTTCTAATTTAACCACCACCTACACAGACACATACTTCTTCAGAGTAGAGAGTGAACCATTCAAGGCAACAGCTGCTTGTGATCCTCTTAAAATAACAGTCAGAGGTAACGAATTCTTGCTTTTTCATAGTTAAAGCAAACAATAATTTTGTAGTTTTGTTCTTGATTGTTAGATTTTTTTTTCTCTGTCTCTGTCTTTGATGGTTTTTAAGTACTTTGAGACTTTAACGATGTTGTAATCTTTGACTTTCTTTATCAGAGGATATTAACAGGAAGGACAGATAAGTGACTATTTTCCTGCTTCGGTCAGAGCATCATGTGATGCCATGCCTGTAGCAGCTTTGCAACCAAGCAGGCTGGCCTTAGGACACTTTCTTAAAGAGCATGTTCTCCTTCTGAACTTCCTTCTTTTTAACAGCAGTCAGACTACATGGTTCACTGTAACTGTGCTAAAACCCCCTCATTTCGTTGTGAAATCACTCGTTCACTTGGTAAGGAAACATTTCACTGTTACTCTCTAAAACTAATAATTATTTATTCTTTTACTTAAATGAAAGACGCATTAAGTAATTTTAAATTTAATATGTATTAAATTTTACTTAGTTGTGTTGTTGTTTTAAATGAACTGTGTGATTATAGATTCAGAGAGATCACTGCTAAGAAAAAAAAATGTTGTTAAATAGGGGAAGTTCTCTGTGAAACAACTTTGTCGGGGCTGTTTTAAAACTTCATGTGTGGAATGATTAGATAAACAGATGTCTTTGTGTTTGTCTGTTAAAATGCAGGGAAGGAGTTTGTGAACATGGTGACAGTCGGCATGTTATCGGTTCTCCTCTTTGTTTCAGGTGAGCCGTTTGTTCACTTATATTGAAATCATTTAAAATGTGAATTTTATTTGGAAGAAAAAGTGACCCTACAGCTACTTTTTCCAACTGTTATTGTCCTAACTTGAAATTGAAATTCTTTAATTGGTAATTTCTCTTTGGTTTGTTTACAAAACAAGAATTTAAATGATAACAGAAGAAGAAGTGGCTGAAGCTACAGCTTGTAACACCTACAGCTTAAGAAAAAATAAAGAAAGTATATTAAATCAACTACACTTTTAATGTCTAATTTAAAAACTGAATCACGACAAAAGAAAAAGAAATAATCAGTAACCTTTATGTCTAATTCAGCTCTAGATGAGCTCTGTTAAAACCTGTGATTGTGTAATAAACACACAGATACAAAAATCAATGTAATTGAATCATTTAATCAAAGGTTATGCTTTACGTCTTGGTGGGACTACAGTACAGTATTAATGTGTGAATAACTTAATCCATAAAATGTATTTACAGGTGCTTTGGCAGACTGTACAAAACAAGCAGACCTCTCCATAACTGCACCAAAGAAGCTGGAAGCACTGAGTGGATCTTGTTTGCAAATCCCATGTAGCTTCAGATGCAAAGACGAACAGACATTTATCAGCACAAGAAAAATCTTTGGAGTGTGGATTAAAAATGATTCTAGATTTGGCGAAAATCCAAACAATGTGATCTTCAACAGTAATGGAGCAGTTAGCATCTATCCAATGAGTATTACTGGGAACCTGAGTCAGAGAGACTGCACCACTCTGTTTTCTAATTTAACCACCACATACACAGACACATACTTCTTCAGAGTAGAGAGAGAAAGATTCAAGGCGACAGGTCAGTGTGATCCTCTTCAAATAACAGTCAGAGGTGAGTTATTTTTAATACTTTCATAATAAAACAACAATTCACATTCAGACAGTTGTTCTCTATTCTTTGTCTAAAATATCTCTTGAAGCTAAAATTAACACTACAGTCACAGTGATTGTCCCGACTTACAGTTTATTTCTTTACTGTACAGAAGCCTTCCAGAAAAGTCAGGATGTAAAATGTAAATAAAAACAAAATGAAGTGTTTTTCAAATCATTTACCATCTCAGTTCATTTCCGTTCAGGTCAAAAATATCATACAAAAGATTAAAACTAAGAACTTTGATTGTTTTTTGTGTGTCAGGCTCTCGTTTATGTTATAACAAGACTAACAGATCACTGTTTCATGATGTAGTACTATTGATTTCATTGTGTAACAGGTCTGTACTACAGACAGGCCAGTTTAGCACCTGGACTCTTATACCAAACATAAAAAGCCAAATGGATGCAGTTTTTCACTATTTTCAAAAACATTTTTACTTTTGATCAGTCAGATTAAAACCAGTTTTCATCTTTGTCTCACTTCATGTTAAATAAGTTCACACAGAGGAAGCATCAATGTTTGTTTTCATGTTTTCATTTTCATTGTAAAGTTTTAACTTCAATGTGTGCATCTAGTCGTACCAGTGGTTTTCAAAAGTGTCCCTGAGCTCATGAAATGAGTCTCTTGGTGAACATCAAATACAATCCAAATTTTGACTTCATTTATTTGTATAAAAACTGTGTTTAATGCAAAACCACAGATTCTCCTTCGAGGCCCAATATTACAATCCCAGGTGATCTGAAGGAGAAGGAGTCTGTCACTATAACCTGCTCAGCTCTCACTCCCTGTCCACACTCCCCTCCTCAACTCACCTGGAATCTCCAACAAGACTCTCACAACAAAATAGAGGAAAACACAGATGGAAGCTTTACAACTAAAATCCAGCAGAACATCACTCTGTCAGACACACATGATGGAACGAAGATCAGCTGCTCTGCCAGATATCCTGTGAACCAAGGAAACGACACCAAGACAGCAGAGACAGAAGAGACTCTCAGTGTTTCATGTAAGACAATCAGACTTTGTTTTTTCATCCTGCAAACATATCATGATTTATAGGATATAATTTATTTCTCCAGATGCTCCTAAAGACACCTCAGCATCCATCAGTCCATCAGGTTTGGTGTCAGCAGGCAGCTGGGTGAAGCTGACCTGCTCCAGCAGAGCCAAACCTCCAGTCAGCAACTTCACCTGGTTCAAGAAGAGCAGAGATGGAGCTGTGAAAGTATCTGAAGGAGAGATTTACAGCTTCAATGTAACAGATGGAGGAGTTTATTACTGTGTGGCCACTAATGATCTGGGTAATCAGACATCAGCAGAGCTTCATTTGACTGAAGGTAACGTTACTCAGCAGATTTTTTTTTCATTTCAAAATGTTTTTGATTGGATCCAACAAATGAAGTGTTAAAAGCATTTTTTTTCCATTATTCTATTTTTTGTAATATATGTCAGAAGAAAGCAGAGAGAGAGGTGTGTTTTGTGTGAGATTGAATTGTGTTTTATGAACTTCTAAGATTTTACTTCATCCTTCATCAAGACTAAGACCTGAACCTGTGGTTGTTCAGGTCTTATTTGTTAAAGTTATGGTTTTCTTGGATCTTGTTTCACCTTAAACGGTTCTATTTACTGTTAAATGTTCATTCTGTCACATATTGTTTTAATCACTCTAAAATCTTGTTGCATTAAAGGTGGAAACCAGGTTGGTGTCTACACTATAGTGAAGACTGTGTTAATCATAATGCTCGTGAGCACACTGATGGTTTTTGTTTGGTGAGACAAATGTTTCTGTGACACACTCATGTAAAGCCACAAAGAAACTCATCTGTTGTAAAACAAAATGATTTTGTCTTTTTTTCCTTCAGCTGGTTCAGATCAAGACTCTCCAACAATCCAGAAACTGAAAGCTGTCAGATGAGCAGAGTCACATCACAACACATCAACTAAAGTTTCTTCAGGAGGACAAAATCCACCTGAAAATATCAGTAAATTCACTGCAGTGATGTTCAACAGTTTTGCTTTTTGTGTAGAGATGGTGTTGCAGGAATGGAGACATTTTCTTTGTGGACAAGTTCATGCCGGTCCTCAACTGGACTGAAATTTTTTAATAGGACCTGCTTCACTCTAAGGTCAAGCATTTTATCCATGAACACTGATCTAACCCTACACTTATGTAAGACTGCTGCAGCATGATGCTTGGACAATCCTGGCAGTTTCCACTCTGTTACAGTTTCAGCTGTTTTCCTAACATTAGTGTTAGATTCAGAATCAGACTTTATTTGGCCAAGTTTGTGCACACAAACAAAAAACAAGGAGCAAGTTACACAAAGTATTAAGAAACTATACAAAGTATTGGTACCAAACTGAGTGGTGTAATATGCATATGTGTTATGACCTGAATGATGTAAGAGTGGGTCATTTCACAGTGTTCATCAGAGTGACACCTGGGGGAGGAAACTGTCTCCGTGGGTTTTGTAAACAGTGGTTTGTAGCGCCTGCCTGAAGGCTGAAGTTTGAACAGTTATTTCTGGGATGTGAGGCCCTTGTGGATCTTTGCCAAAACAATTACAAATATTTGAATGCCCCGAGGTGCTCAGGCTGAGGTGGGGGAATATCAGTGATTTACAAGTGCAAATTAAGTTGTCATCCATTTACTCTGAGCTCATATCATCCCTTCAAATCGAAGTATGAAAATCTATTTTGTTGTATTATTATCCACCAACCTCCTAAGTCCTGCGATGACTTCTTTAATTAATTCTCTCATCTATTTTCATATATTGCCAAATCTCACCAATTCCCTTTGGTCAGTAATTTTGATTTAAACACTGATGATAGTGCAGCATGGTAATGGTCCCACACATAAAAGCGAGCACCCCTGGATCATGTTTTTACTCCATCTTATCTACAACCTCCCTGCATATGTTGTCACGGTCCTGGGCCATTGACCCAGTGTTTATTGTTGTCTGTGCCTCCCTTATGTTTGGTCTCTGTGTGTCTTAGTTGCTCTGTTTCCCCTGTCATGTGTATCCCTTAATCAAGTCCGCGTCTCAGTGTTACGTTTCCTGCTTTACTTTGAAAGTCTGTGTCCTTGGTGAATGTATTGAGTTTTGCTTCCCTTTGGTCTCGTCATGTCAAGCCCTGTGTTTTTCTGCCTCATGCTGTGTGTTTCCTTGTGTGCCTCTTGGTGAAGTTTAGGTTTTATTCTCCAGTTTACTTTAGTCCTGTATGATTTCTGTGTGTCAGCAATAAAGCTGCATTTTGAGTTATTCCCATGTGTTGAGATTTCTGCATTTTGGGTCCTCATCCTGTCTGCACACAGCCGAATCATGACATATGTCTGATCTACTGGCCACACATTTGTATTTTTTGACAGAGTTTTTCACTTACTGTTGTTCCCAGGAACAAACTGTTCAGTCTTGTATCTTTAAGGAGAATTCAAGAGCTGTATCAACACATCATTTTTCAGATGTCAGTGATTCACTTCATGGGTCTAATAGTCTATGTTAATCATCTATATTAAGTTTTAATATAGATGAGTAATGCAATTTGTAGGATTCTTCTCTGTCTCAAGCTGACTTTACAGAATGAAATTCTCTAAATGATCTTATTGTGTCTCCATGTAATCTTTAAAGCAATTGTTGCCGAGTTTTCTGTTGTATACAATGTTCTAAATGTACTCTGTGATCATGGCAGGTAGATGCCTTCTCTCTGTAAATATTCTAGACTTACAATCCCTCTGTGTCAGAGGGCATGCAGACTGTGGTCATGCTGTCTGTACTGTTGTTGATTTCTTTGCAAAGGTAAATAAACTGGTAAAGAGTTTCAGAGTTTATTACTAATCAGTTTTTTTAGTATTAATTAGTACTTGAATATTAATTTTTACGATGACCCTAACAGCTTGTAATAGATAACTCCTGATCAGTAGCGGTCCTAGCCTGTTTGGCACCCCGTACCACACATAAAAGATATTAAGGATTGTACATTAATATAAAACTGTTGTCGGAACCATACTGAATTTCACCAGAGAAACACACACACACATATATGAAGAGAGAGAGAGAGTATGCATAGTATGCAAACAGCTACTAAACAGCCATCATAATTTGTCATACAATGAGAACAGGACAGATCATCAATTGATAATGACTAATTAATATTGTGCTGAACACAGTCCAAAAGATTCAGTAAGCGACATCAGTGTCTACTGTTTACTATCATAGCCGAGTGACACGTCACTATCCCTACTAATTGATGTTATGATGTTATTATCTCTGTTGTGGTCAGTGCGCTCCTCTATGCTGTTGCATGCTGGGGCAGCAGGTTGAGGGTCACAGATGACAACAGACTAAATAAACTGATCCACAAGGCCAGTAATGTTGTGGGGATGGAGCTGGACTCCGTTAGGGTGGTGTCTGAGAGGCAGATGTTGTCCAAGATAAAGACAATGTTGGATAACACCTCCCACCCACTCCATGACATGCTGGCTAGTCACAGGAACACGTTCAGTGAGAGACTGAGATTATCGAAAAGCACCACTGAACGATACAAGAAATCATTCCTGCTCGTGACCATCTCCCTGTACACCTCCTCCATCTAACACACTGTAAACACTGCTATAGTTACAGCCATTTTACACACGCTCTTCTCTACTCTGGAATATTCTTGTCAACTTTCTTGATATTTATTTATAATCCCCTCTGTTTATCATTGATATTTTTAATTTAGTGGTCTGTGTATATTAGTGCTATTTCTTAAATGTGTAAAATCTGTAACATAATGTATTGTTTGGAGTTTAGTCTGTTACTGTTACTATTTTTACCATTTCTTCTTGGAGCAACTGTAACCCACATAATTTTCTTAGGGATTAATGAAGTATTCTGATTCTGATTCTGATTGTTTCAGGATGACCTGCCATTATCCAGTGACACATCTGCTTACCTGCATCTTTTCCTCGTTTCTCCTCCTCTTCTTTTCTCTTTTTTCTAAACTGAGGACCTGATGGCTTTGAACTTTTCTTGTTCATCTTCCATTGGTTTTCATTTTGCACTCCAGTATGAACACCCATCCCCCAACTCAGGGATCACCACAACATAACCTAATAGACCTACACCCTAGTTCACAGATTTGCTTTGTCTAAGGTTTATTTCTGGGATTTCAAATCAAGAATACATAATGGGCTTGGATTTACAACATTATGAATGAAATGTGCTCTATTTGCAAGCAGCAGGTCTCTCCTCCCCTGTCGACAGGTTGTGTGTGAGACTTTAAATCATCAAACTGTAAATTATACATTTTAAATTGTTATTGATCCCTTCACTCCTAGTCCTAAAGTGTATATTTATTTTCTTACTCTTCTTATATTTGTTGTTCGTTTACTTGCACTGCTGTAACTGAAGCCTCGTCGTCTCGTCTCTATACATACTGGACTGTATAGCGGAGATGACAATGAAGTTTAATTTGACTTCAGCACAGCAGCAAGCAGGCGCACTTTTCGCATACAGAATTTCGAAAAAAACATCGGTGCAAATTATAAGTCTGTATCATGATGTCTGGTGTTTTCGTGTTTGTTGGTTTGTTTTTATTTTGTTTTATTTTGCGAGTTGGTTATTAGATGCTGCTCCAGCCAGCCAGAGAATCCCTCACCGCCCCGCCCTCTCCTCCCTGAGCCGCAAGCAGCAGGCGCACCTCGCAAACGGAGGGCACCCTTACTCCCAGCAAATGGGCGATAGAAAACCGATGCCATTCCCAATATGCGCTGGCTGATGTCGGGGCAGCATGAGTACGAGCAATTTTTTATATTTTTTTTGCCGATGCCCCTGATGCCGCCCCGGGCAACTGCCCGTGTCGCCCGTATCAAAAACCGCTACTGCTCCTGATGATAAGTGACGTTCATATTGGGATTTTTAAAAAAATATTTTAACTAAGGTTAAGTTTGCAGGCTCTGAAGGATTGACGTTAAAAAAATCTTTTAGGTTGTGAATGTGAGTTCAGAGTGGACGTTAAAAATAGATTGACATGTCATATCCCCTGTTTCAGCTGTTAAGCAGGAAGGACACAGTTGATTGTATCGTGTGGTTTAGTCAGTGGATATCTCAGTGCTTGCTTCTTTCTCAAATGATGACCACTAGTTTACATCGATTATTGTAATTTTGCTTCATTTCACTCTAAAACTGTGAGACTAAATGGGGACTTGTTTGGTAAGGAAACATTTTATGCTTTTATTTAACGAAACTGAAGTTTTTATTTTGTGATTGTTCTTTTAGTGCACTGACAGACACATTTATGTCATTTTCTTTCCTGGTGATTTAGTTTCACTCATTTCACATGTCAGATGTTGTTAACAATGGTTCCTTATGATGACAGCTCGTATTGCACAGAGGAAGTTTGGATTAAGAATTTGTTTTAAAGAAATATGAATAATCTCTTCAAAATCCATAATTCAAGTGATTAAATGTCTGATTTGTGTTTTTAATTCAGGGTTTCAACAACAGCATCAACAAGTTCCTGTGTGTGAACATGGTGACAGTCAGCATGTTGCTGATTGTCCTCTTTGTTCCAGGTGAACTGTTAGTTCAGTCATTCACAGACATGGAGTCATTTTACAATCTGAACTTTATTGACAAACAAAATCTGAAAGGCCAGTGAAGATAGTCAACAATTTATTAATCATGACACTGTATTTACAGGTGTTTTGGCTGATTGTGCTGATCAACCAGCACTCTTCATAACTGCACCAAAGAAGCTGGAAGCACTGAGTGGATCTTGTTTGCAAATCCCATGTAGCTTCAGACCCAAAGACGAACCAAAATTTATCAGCACAAGTGAAACTTTTGGAGTGTGGATTAAAAACAATTCTTATATTACCAAAATCAAAAACAATGTGATCTTCAACAGTAGTGGAGCAGTTAGCACCTATCCAATGAGTATTACTGGGAACCTGAGTCAGAGAGACTGCACCACTCTGTTTTCTAATTTAACCACCACATACACAGACACATACTTCTTCAGAGTAGAGAGTGAACCATTCAAGGCAACAGCTTCTTGTGATCCTCTTCAAATAACAGTCAGAGGTGAGTTATTTTTAAAATAAATGAATGTTTAATAACAAAATGACAATAAAACACATTCAAATAGATTTCTGTATTCTAAAATATAATTTTTTCAGCCTAAAAGTTTCAATACAGTCACAGTGATTTTCCTGATTTACATTTTATTTCTTAACTGTACAGGATTCTTTCTGAAGCAGTCAATATATATCAATATACTGTTTTTATTGTGTCATAACATTTTGAAAACAGTTTCAGAGTGTGACAGGTCTGTACAGAACACAGTATCGTTTAAAGCCAGTTCTAATCTCCGTCTCACTTCATGTAAAATAATTCCAACTAGACGAAGCAAGAATGGACTTTTAACTTCCATTTCTGCATCCAGCTCTACTGATGGCTTTCAGAAGTGTTCCTGAGCTCACGCACTGATTCTTTTGACAGAACTGTGTGTGTTCAGTGCAGTTTGACCTGAGGCCATGAAGATCACAGTCATTCAGTAATGATTTTGGGATTTTTACAACTTCTGCCAATTTGGTTTAAACTGTCCATTCCCTTAACATATTTACTACTGACAGGCTTCACTCCTTTTATGTCCATGCATGTTAACCCTATAATGCCCTTTGTATCATAACCTCTATCTCATCAACATGATCAATATTTGCCATAATTTCAAAATGTTATGGACAAAACTGTTTTTTTAAAAAAATGAACATTGTTTTTAACAAACAGTTGCCACGTATCTTATGCAATACAAAAAAATATAATAAATATTTAATAAAAAATATATCATGATATAGCAAACAAAATGTGGATTTTGTTATAAGGGTTTATAAACATCTCATTTCTAAAAAAATCTGAATTTTCTGGCTATTTTTTGATGGGTTGGGTCTTACAGGGTTAATAATAACAATTATTTGTAAGATATGAAAAGATGACAAAACAAATATCTTAATGAGATAAAAAGTAATCTGAAATCAAAATAAATTGAATAAAGTCAAATAGAAATGATAATACACATCATAAAAATATTTGAAAATCAAAACAAAAACAATGCACCAGCAAACATGTGACAGTGGAGTGGTTCATAATCACCGTGTAAAGTGTAGTGTGCAGTGCAATGCAGTACACTGGATTAGAGTGTGTTAAGTGTAGAGTTTAAATAAATTGACAACAGAACAAATGATTCTACATTAGAAAGATATAGTGTATTATATACTGTATTTATTTGTATGTATTTGCAACATATTTGAAACCACAGATTCTCCTTGGAGGCCCAATATTACAATCCCAGGTGATCTGAAGGAGAAGGAGTCTGTCACTATAACCTGCTCAGCTCTCACTCCCTGTCCACACTCCCCTCCTCAACTCACCTGGAATCTCCAACAAGACTCTCACAACAAAATAGAGGAAAACACAGATGGAAGCTTTACAACTAAAATCCAGCAGAACATCACTCTGTCAGACACACATGATGGAAAGAAGATCAACTGCTCTGCCAGATATCCTGTGAACCAAGGAAAAGACACCAAGACAGCAGAGACAGAAGAGACTCTCAGTGTTTCATGTAAGACAATCAGAGTTTATTGTTGAACTGGATCCTATAGGACAACATGATTTGTGTGATATGTCTTTGTTTGTTTGTTTCTCCAGATGCTCCTAAAGACACCTCAGCATCCAGCAGTCCATCAGGTTTGATGTCAGCAGGCGACTGGGTGAACCTGACCTGCTCCAGCAGAGCCAAACCTCCAGTCAGCAACTTCACCTGGTTCAAGAAGAGCAGAGATGGAGCTGTGAAAGTATCTGAAGGAGAGATTTACAGCTTCAATGTAACAGATGGAGGAGTTTATTACTGTGTGGCCACTAATGATCTGGGTAATCAGACATCAGCAGAGCTTCATCCAACAGGTAAATGCAGACAGCAGCACAAGAATCAATCATTTATTAATATTAATAAACTGTATGCAGAATTGTGATTAACAGGTTTGAATTTATTGAAGAAAGTTTGGTGAGAATAATGGGAACACATCCATATTTACAGAAATGAAAGCACTGTCAACAGGATCCAAGAGCTTTAAGTCATCCTCAGAAAATTCAAGCCCAAATAGAAGAAACAGAAGTGCCCATAATACATTAGTATCAACTGCTTGCTTGTCTTCTTCTGGTCAGATTCATTGCCCTAATGCACAGAATGCTTTATTGTCTATTGAACTGAATGAAGTGACTTGATATCAATTAGGCCACGCAGAGGATGAAGTAGGGAGAACTGCTTTGCTGACTCATTCTTAAATAGACCAGCAAACAATCCAGCTTCCATTCATTTTCCATTGAGCATTTATTCCATATTTCAGTCATCCATCCACTTTGCAGTCAAGCGCAAGCACATGCAAGCTACTTGAGGGCAATCTAAAGAAGGCAAGGCATTTGACATGCACAAACGAACACAGTCAGCAAAAGAAATACAGTCTATTAAATCTATCATTCATTAAAACCTCCCACATGAACCCAAATCCCTGGAATAGACATACAACACCATGCAGACACAACCTTATCACCACAAAGTTTGTGGCCCCAACATTGAATATGATGCTGTTTTAAATAAGACATGAAATTATTGATTGAGATCATTAAGTTAATAGGAAAGCTTTCACTCTCTTAACATTTGATTGAATGTAAATAGATTAAACCATTCACAGCAACTTGAACATTTAAGTTACCTTCAGATAAGCCTGAACACTCAGTGACAAACATGATATTTATCAAAGTGCATTTGTCACTAACCTTTTTATATCTGCAGGAACACATCAGCCTTTATCATGGTCTGCTGTAGGAGGGATCACTGGGATCATCGTACTCATCTGTATGGTTTTTGTGTTTTGGTAAGACTCTAAGATCAACATCCAGTCCAGATTTATTCCATCCGTGGAATATCGAATTTTGTCTCACTTTTCTTTATCTTGTGATATTGCTTGAAACGGTCAATGGTTTCATTTTGACTGAACTTTTAACTAAAACCAGTGGAAGTGTTGAGGTATATCTTTAAGTTTATAGCTTCAGTATTTCAGTTTTTGTATCACTGGGAAAACAAAGCTACAGATGTGAAGTTTCTTCAGATTGTATCATAAGATGCTGAAATATTCCACAAAATAGAAATATTTTTTCATGCAAATGATGATAGGATGCATTTTATCGTTCCTGTGTGTCTGAAGTTCCCTTTGTGAGTTTCTAAGTTATGTAATTAATTAATTGCACAAGATTCATAAACATATTTTGAAGAGTGTAAACACGTAACCATTTATTTTGCAATGAATGTGTTGCTGTGATGGATTCTGGACTGACCTGTTCAATTAAGCTGGTAGGAAATGTTTCAGGTAGATTGCTCAAGACATCATTATTATTATTATTATTATTATTATTATTATTATTTCTGATGATTACATCTCTGTAACTTCTAGGCGACTAAAATCAACACGTCAAGCTTCACATCAGGCACAGGTAGGAAACTGACTCTGATGATTGTAGTTTTTACATGTGCACTCATAAAATGAAGGCTTAGCGTGACTGTGCTCAAAAACAGATTTTAGATGTTAGTATCACCTTATTGTATCCTCAAGCTCTTCATAGCATTTCAAGTTTGGTGCGTTTTATTTCACAGAGTTTGTGTCAAGAAAATGAGGACAGCCATTATGAAGAGATTTTCTTCTCCAACCAGAGACCTTCTTTAGACTGAATGTAGACAGCAAGTAGGCAACAGTGTAACACAGACAGGTAATCGGGGTGCTTCAGTACCTATGTAATTAGCAGGCTGCACATCTGGAAAGGCACCATCACTGCTGATGCATATTACAGCAAGATGAATCACATAATGTATCTATTACACCTGCTTGAACTCATAGTAGAAGAATCTGGGCGATGCACTGGTCTGCCTGCAGTCCAGGCCTGGAAACATTTGGCACATTTTGGAACCAAAAATATGACAAACTGAACACTGTTGAACCCTATGACACAAGAAAGGGACAACAATCTTTTCCAAAAAGTTTCACAAATGCTCTCCTCTGTTCCCCGAGTTTTACTGACTGCTGTTAAAAGAACAGGAAATGCTGAATGTGTCTGTTTTTTGGGGGGAACAATCAAACTCAGTATGACCTTTTTCTGTCTCTGAAAATAGTATATTTCCTCTCTTTAACCATTTGATATGTGTTCTATGTTCTGCTGTGAATAAAATATAAACTTATGAGATTTTGTTACGCCCCAGTCTAGGGGTACAGGAACGTAACATAAGAGTTAAAAAAAAGAAGTGATCCCGCCCTGGGCCCCAAAGCCACACAGAGAAAAAACAATTTCTTAGTGAACAGTGGTTTATTGTGCCTAAACTGAAGCGTGACTTCTGGGGTGAACAAAGGGCAAAATAACAAACAATAACAATAAATAATCAGTCAAGAAGGTGCTACCTGAACCTTACATGATGAAAAGAACAAACAAAACACAAATGCTACGCCTAACTCCCTAACTGAATAAACAGAAGGAAATAATACAGAAAACAACAAGGCAGCTCACCACTTCGGCTTCAGTGACTATTTACAAGTGCTATTTACAAGTGAAGGCTAATTTACACACTATATTCAAAGCTCTGTAAGTCACGGGAATCACAAATATTACAGCGTTTGGAGGCCAGGGTCAGGTCTGCTGCTGCTGTCAGTGGCTGCCCCAACTGCTAGTGAGGGATTTTGAAAGCAACCACATGATCAGGGGACCAATCGGCAGCCGTCAGCTTATCCAATCAGGGACCTGCAGAGACTTAAAGACACAGACAGAACAAGAAACGGCTACCAAGACACATTATGGCCAGGGCCGTAACAGATTTGCAAATCATTTAATTCTGTTTTCAATTTACATCTTACAGCATCCCCAGAGTTTTTTTTTAGAACTGGGTTTGTAGAAAATTGCTACATTGTATAAATTGCACCCATGAATTTAGATTATTATATATTGTTTCAAAAAGATCCTGACTTCAGTACCATATTTGTTATAGTTTACTTTTATTTATTATTGCATATCTGTAGATGTTGTCAATAAGACACTGACAAATCCTAGCAAACTGTAGCTGAAGCAAAGGTAGTTTTAGGAACTGAAATGCTCACTTTTATATGAAAACATGATTTACATGAAAAACACTTACCGTATAAAAGAAAAAAAAATGGAACATTGACTGACATGTAACATATAACAACTTATGTAATGTAGAGTTAAATATACGAGTGGCAGAAGGTGCACTCTGATGAACTATGCAGAAGGACAATCTGAAAAAGACAGGAGACTGCAAGTTGGTGGCAGGTGAGAATGCAGCTAGGCAGCATCAGTAGTCTGTAGGATGACTTTTACATGAAGAAAAGAAATCAGGTGAAGGCAAAATTTAAATAGTGTAAGTTCAAAAAAGAATAATGTTGCACAGAGTTCAGGCGTTTTAGTTGACTGAGCTAAATCTGGTAAATTACTTAAGAAACATAAAATGCAATTAAACTTCCTGTTTTTCAATTTTACTCTATTGGCAAAGCATTGAGGATTTCTGTGACTGTCTTCAGTAAGAACTGTTTGTTCTAATATTATCAAAATCAAGTGAATGAGCCTTTTCCTCCAGTTTTTTTTTTTCATTTCACGATAGGTGTGAGTCTGTCTCTTCAGGAAGCAGCCTAAACAGCAGAAAATGAAGATGCTCATTATGATGAAACTGAGTTTTTGAAGCAGAAACCTGGACCTTGTTTAGACTGAGTGCAGGACAGCACGCAGCAGCAGGATGTGATGTTTTAACAGTTCAAAATGTGCAAGGCTAAAAAAAGCCAGTGCAGAAGAAATGAGTGTGGACATGTATTGCACAGATGTTGTACAGAGAAATGTTGTTTTGTAGTTCATCTCAGGTAACCTGATAAGAATCAGGATGTTTGTGTCCGATCCATATATAGTTAGATAATGGCAGTGAACTAAAAAAACAAAACAAAAAAACCCTCTTTTAAATGAGGCATTAAAGTGATGTCACACTAGCAGTTTACTTCCTGTGAAATATTTTTGTTGTGTGCTTCCTATCTGTGTGTATTTTCAACACGTTCTCACTCCCAACTCATCAAACGTGTGACGCATGGTCAGGCTCCCTCTGCTGCACTTATGGACGCGCAGGGTACCCCTCTCGCGTCGGGAATTGACGTGAAGGGTCCTCCGATTGAAGAGATTGCCGCGGAAGAGCCTTTTGTCGGTATATTTAGACATTTTCCAAATCACATTGTAGTGACGTATACAGAACACAATAAATTATATAATGTAAACAACTACCTGAAAAACAGGTAGAACAATACTTTTGTATGGTTTATTGCATTTACGGAGGGAGTGATGTATGCTGGGTAATGGCACAGCACGCTCCTGTTAGTGATCCTCCATCTGGATGGATGAGAACAACCTTCTGAACAATCTAGCAGGAAATGGCCCATATCTATGGGACTGGTTTGTGCTAATAACGCCCATTGTATGGACTGATAACAGCCGAAGCAGGTGAATAAAGTCACCCAGTAGCTAGCTGTGCCATTACCCAGCATACATCACTCCCTCCGTAAATGCAATAAACCATACAAAAGTATCGTTCTACCTGTTTTTCAGGTAGTTGTTTACATTATATAATTTATTGTGTTCTGTATACGTCACTACAATGTGATTTGGAAAATGTCTAAATATACCGACAAAAGGCACTTCCGCGGCAATCTCTTCAATCGGAGGACCCTTCACGTCAATTCCCGACGCGAGAGGGGTACCCTGCGCGTCCATAAGTGCAGCAGAGGGAGCCTGACCATGCGTCACACGTTTGACGAGTTGGGAGTGAGAACGTGTTGGTATTTTTGTTATGGAACATATTACATGTTTTA